CGAGAGACCCCTCGTAAGGGAAACCTCTGTTTAAAATCTGAAAAGCAGAGGTTGCTGTCCCCCCCCGGCCGCAGGGGGATGAGGTGGGAGCTCAGGCGCCGTGCGGGCAGCGGGCGCCCCCGCTCTGCTCTGACCGTGCCGCTCCCCAGGGCGCCACTACACGCTGAGCGTGGCCCTGCCCGGCTCCATCCTCAACAACGCCCAGTCGCCGGAGCTGCGGACCTACCTGGCCGGGCAGATCGCTCGGGCCTGTGCCATCTTCTGTGTGGACGAGATCGTGGTGTTCGACGAGCACGGAGAAGATGTAAAGTAAGGAGACATCTTCTTCTGCAAGAAAGCATTTCCTCTCTGCTGTCCTTCCATCTTTTATTCAACTGAGACCAGTGAAGAACTGCATGTACCTCAAGCAAATGTCTGAACCTCTCTCAAATGCCAGGATTTGGCTCATTTATTTCCTGGGAGTGGGGTGTGCTGCTGCTCTTCTCAGTCTAAGGAGCAAGGCTTGGTCTTCTGGAGGCCTGCCCATGTGGGGCTGGGCAGTCCCATGCTGAGTTCACAGGCTGCTCTCTTTCTCTTGCAGGACTGTAGAGGGGGATTTTGAAGGAATTGGAAAGAGAGGCAAGGCTTGTGTGCAGCTGGCTCGGATCCTGCAGTACCTGGAGTGCCCTCAGTAAGTCCAGCACATCAGACTGTGCATCTGAACTGACTGCCATGGGTGTGCTGTGTGAGCAGGAGCCAAACTCTGCTGGTGTTGCACAATTGTGCAGGAGCTGATTGTTTCATGGTTCAGGAGTGTAACTGAAGGAACAGCAGGATACAACCTGCATGCTGCATTCGAGGTAGATCAGGGACTTGGAGGAGCTCCTTTGAGTGAATACAGGGCTAGCGCTGAGGCTTGGATTCCATAGAAACAACTGTTCTCACACTTTAACCTTCTCTGCTAACAGGTACTTGAGGAAATCCTTTTTCCCAAAACACGAGGATCTGCAGTTTGCAGGTAATGATTCAGCTGTCTCTGATTCAGCTGTCCCAGGCTCCCCCTTCCCCAGCTCTGGCTCTTGTTCTGTGATGCACAGGCCCGGATGCTCTTCCCCACACCAGAGTGCCAGCGAGGTGCTGTGGTGTGCTGGGCCAGAGAGCAGCAGTACATGTGTCTGTTACCACTTCGTGTCCTCTCCTTAGCAGTCGCTTTTGTCTGTGCTGTTGCAGGGCTCCTCAACCCCCTGGACAGCCCCCACCACATGCGGGTGGACGAGGAGTCGGAGTACCGAGAGGGGGTCGTGCTGGACCGGCCGACTAAGCCAGGCAGAGGCTCTTTTGTTAACTGTGGGATGAGGAAGGTGTGTCTGCTACCCAACCCATTTCCCCTGTCTCTCTGGCAGATTTGAAGCAGGCAGGGTGGGTAGTGCTGGGTTTCTGAAGGCCACAGTGAGCTGCCATGAGGTTTAAGGCTGTTGCTGTCTTGTCCCTTCTGGCTTGTCCATGTTTGTAGCTTCCCAAGTCCTGGCGTGCCTGCCCATTCCAGCATGTCATTGCTTCACTGCTGGAGTTGAATGTGTGAGCAGCAAAATAAGTCTCAGGCTGCTGACCCAGCTACCCTGAGCCTATTCGGGCTCTAGTCGCAGAGCTCCTCCTGCCAGCCCCAGGCCAGAACAGACCCCACTTCCTCAGAGGGTTCCCTCCCTCCCCCCCCTCCCCAGCTCTTCCAGGATGTCCCATGCTGATGGTGACTGTCACTGCAGGAGGTGCAGATCGACAGACAGCTGAAGCCTGGTCTGCGAGTCACCGTGCGCCTGGAGGAACCCCAGAACCCAGGTGATGCCCTGCTCTGACAGCACCTGTACACGTCAGCCCTGCAGGAGCTGCTCCCTCTGGGTGACAGTGTGCTCGTGTTGGTTGTACCCAGCCACCCTGCACGTTCCCTGTGCCCCACACCCAGCATTAACAACACCCTTACCATGCCTCCCCGATTAACAGGAAAGAACCATCAGCTCTTTGACCATTAATAAACAGCCCAAACACCCTCAGGTGCTTCCCTGAATGTTCTCAAAAAGGGCAGTTCTTGGTTGTACACCCAGTCAGCACCCTGCCCCTGGAGAAACTGCCGTGTGTGGCTGGTCACACCCAGCTCTCCCTGGATCTCAGGGGTTCTGGATCTCTTTGCTTCCCTTTCAGAAACCAAAGCTCGGAAGGGCAGCGTGGTGTCTGCCCAGCACCCCAGGACTGTCTCAGGCCTGTACTGGGGGTACAACGTCCGCCTGGCCTCCTGCCTGAGTAAGTCTTTGTGGGGTTCTCTGCTCCCTGCCATGTCTCTGCCTGGGCTTCCCCACCAATTCCTGGCTGCCTGGCTGCACATCCGCAGCACGTGGGAACATCACTTCCTTAGGAATCTCTTTTGTCTCACATGCAGCTTCCATGTGCAGGTAGCAGCCACATGAGAGTCAAATTCAAGGGCTGAAGCTCGGGGTGTGTATCACCCGTCACCCACCAGTACTCTGTCCTGTACCTCCATCACCATTGTGCCACGTGTCCATGTTGCAGCAGGAGATGAGCTGGTGCTCTCCATGCCCACCCAGTACATCTCCATTTCCACGATAATGTGCCTGCTGCTCATTCACAGCAAAGCCAGGAGTGGCATTTGAGCTCGAGAGCCCTTCTCCTGTCTTCTTATTGACTGGATTTCCTAGGAACATTGTAAGCCATTAGAATGGCTCCTGGCACATGTTTGAGCTTTGAGGCAAGGGTGCTGCAGTGGAGAAGGGTGCCAGAGGCTCCTGCAGCAAGGGCACTATGTGGGAAGGAGGAATTGTTCTGATGCATTCATGGCACTGAAAAGCAACTCTTGCTGCTCTCCCTTAGCTGTGCAGCATTTCAGCCTGTCCATGTGACTAACCCCACGCTGTGTTGGTGTTCCAGGTGCTGTTTTTTCGGAGTGCCCATTCAAGGAAGGCTATGACCTCTCTATTGGGACCTCAGAGCGGGGCAGCTCCGTGGACCAGGCCACTCTCCCCTCCTTCAGGTTTGTGTCCTACCTGCTGGGCCCCACTCAGAGCCCCCGGGAGGTCTGGTGCTGGCAGCAGAGCTGCACTGTGGCCTTCATGCTCTCCCAGGCAGGAGTGCTCCTAGATACAAGTGCATGACTTACCTGCAGGCTCCTTCCTGTGCTCTGCTGCTCCTTTTTGCACCAAGGCACATGCCTCTGCGTGACAGAAGCTGGGGGAAGGGTCCCAGGACGAGGCCAATTCCTCTCCTGTTTCTCTGGGGTTGGAAGCAGGGACTGTCACGTTGGCCAGGTGCTGTGGGGCTCTGTTAGGGAGGCAGCTGCACTGGGCACTGTCAGCAGGGGACACGGCTCCTTCCTTCAGCAGCACAGAGGAGCTTGAACACAGACCCACTTGCCTAACACCAGAAATGAGTCTGCTCCTTGCAGATCAAGAGAAGTGTTTATGTGAGGCCAGCTGCACTGGGCACTGTCAGCAGGGGACACGGCTCCCTCCTTCAGCAGCAGAGGAGCTTGAACACAGACCCACTTCCCTAACACCAGAAGTGAGTCTGCTTCTTGCAGATCAAGTTAAGAGAAGTGTTCATGTGAGGCAAATTCTTCATCCACTTGGAGGTTCAAGACACATGAGCACCTCTCCTATGTAGAGCTTCTGGAATCTGCCTGGCACTGTCAGCAGGGGACACGGCTCCCTCCTTCAGCAGCAGAGGAGCTTGAACACAGACCCACTTCCCTAACACCAGAAGTGAGTCTGCTTCTTGCAGATCAAGTTAAGAGAAGTGTTCATGTGAGGCAAATTCTTCATCCACTTGGAGGTTCAAGACACATGAGCACCTCTCCTATGTAGAGCTTCTGGAATCTGCCTTGGTACAGGGGTAAGAGCCACCCTCCCCTCTCACCCTGTCCCTGTCCTCATCCCTAGGCATGCTCTTGTAGTCTTTGGAGGCCTTGAGGGCTTGGAGGCTGGCGTTGATGTGGACCCAAACCTGGAGGTCACAGATCCAAGCGTCTTGTTTGACTTCTACCTGAACACTTGTCCCAGCCAGGGCAGCAGGACCATCCGGACAGAGGTAGGGCAGGGGAGGTGGTGTGGGGGGGACACCAGCTGCATGCACAGAGCTGTGCTGCATTTCTGCCTCTGGCAGGGACACGTGTGGCCCACGTGTCATTCCCTGTGGTGACATCTCAGCAAAGAGCACCTGGCTTGCCCGGTGCTCCGCAGAGAGCCACAGCTCTGACTGCTGCCTGGCTCTGTTCCAGGAGGCCCTGCTCATCTCTCTGTCTGCGCTGAGACCCCACATCGATGAGGCTGTGAAGACACCCAGTGATGGCTGAAGGAAGGAGAACCACTGGCCTTGCCATCAGCTCAGGGCTGGCCCGAGGTGCTGGGCAAGTGGCTCCCTGAGCCCGGGGGGCCCATGACACAGTGTGGCTGAAGCTGGCAGTGCTGCCTGACCAGGTGCCTGGCTGCTGGTGGGAGCAGAAGTCTGTGCCCTCCTGCCTGCCTGGTCCAGCCAAGGGCTGGTCGCTGCCTCTCAGCCCCAGGACGAGCTGGCAGCAGACCAGGTTTCAGCAATTCAGACATCTGGGGTGGGGAATAAAGCTGTATGGAACCTCAGCTGCCTTGAAGTCCAAGTGTGAGCGTCTCGGTGTAGAGGACGGGCACTCAAGTGTCCAGAGATCCTGCAGTGCAGTGCCTCTGGAGCCATGTGGCCTTCAGACTGAGAGGAAGACAAAAAACCATAATCCTTATGCCAGAAAGCTGTTCCTGTCTCAGAGAGCCTCATTTCTCCCAGCTCCCCCTTCAGCTCCAGGGCTTCATCCTTCCTGACAGCAGGAAGGGCTGGAGCAGCTGGGCCTCAGCTCTAAAGCACATCAGCATAGCTTGTTACAGTTTGGCTCCATCCATGATGCTTTAAGCTCTGCCTACAGTGAACTCAAACAGGAAAGCAGCTGGAAAAGTTGGCTCTGTCCTCTCCCCATCCTGCTGAGATACTCAAGAGGTTTGCTAAAAGCAGATAAGAAACCACCACTACTGTGGGTGTTCAAAGCTTTACTGCTAAAACCATCTTCAGAAAGAAAACAATCACACAATCCTGGGGCCACAGGAAGGCAGAACCTCTCTCCTCTCCTCCCCCTGCACCCATCTTGCTGCTGTCTTTCCCTGCTAAACAGCAGAAATTAAGTAACATTCTTTTGTGTCTTAATGAGCCACTCGCCCCCCAAAGGGAGCGATTCCAGGGGTATGCTCCATAACCCAGACTGGGGACAAATTCTAGAGACCTACAATGGTGTCAGTGCCCAGGAGCCTTCTGCAGGCCCAGCCCTTGAACCCTGCAGCAGCACCTTTCACTGTTAAGTGAAGCAAGGGGAAGAGCAGGAAGAAGCATGGGTTTGATTCTTATCTCTCACATTTAAAATGGCACAAAGAACTAGTTCCCTGGGATGACTGCTGGGAACCTTCCCAGGGACACCTGCATTTGGTTGGGGTTCAGCACTTGCTCCCAGCTGTGATGGCTTTCAAGTTACTTGTTCTCTTCAAGATGTTTGGGACAAAGAGGAGCCCCGAGGCTCGCTCAATGCTCTCGATGGGAACCAGGAACCGTTCCAGGGGGATTTTCTCATCCACAGGGCTGTTGGGCATCACGTAGGAGCGCAGCTCAATCTCCCCGCTCTCCTTTTCCAGGATGAGCACCTTGAAGAAATGGGTGGGGACGGCCACGTTGTTCTTCCCAATCACCTGGTATTTGACGTACATCTTGCCATCGGCCTCCATCCTGCACCAACAGCACAGCATCTCACGTTACCCCCTAGTCTGGTGCTACATCCAACCCTCTCAGCCCTTCTCCTCCACCCCACAGTGTGGCAGGGAGCAGCCCAACTTCTGCAGCAGGGGTGTGAAAACACAGCTGAAACAGAGGCTGTGTGACACAGTGAGGCTGAGCAGTGCATTGGGTCTGCTCCCCAAACCCCTTCCCTGCTCTCTCTCTCTAACAGCCTTTCCAAGCTATTTCCTGCTGCTGAAGAGATCTCTAGCACTACATGAAGATCTTTGCAAGTAAAGTCATGCTCTTCAGTGAAAAGAAATAGTCCATGAAATAAAACCTAGCTTTTTTCTGCATAGAAGGGGTCTGCTGTCTAATCTGTTGACCTAACAATATAGTTACCTACTACCACTAGAATTTAAGGGACTGCAAACAAAAGCAACGTGGTTATGCTGCAGCTCAGAAACCCACCCTTTCAAAATAATCAGCTGAACAGAAGGTGCACCAACTATTCCCAAGAAAGTGCCTTTCCAGAGAACCTCTGTGACAGCTGGTCTCAGCTACTGCACAGGCCCTTAGCAGCTCACGCCTGTTTGGGGGGGCTGGGAGGCTGCACCCCCTCACCCTCCTTTCCTTTCCCAGCACGATGCATCTTCCCAGCATGTTCCCAGCTTGGCCCTCGTGTTTACCTGGGCAGGTAGAGGGGTCCTGTGCAGACATAGACGTTCCTGTTGTTCTTTGCCAAGCTCCTGCTGTACTTCTCAAGGTTATTCCAGGCATTCTGGTTTAAATGAGGATTCTAGAAACAACCAGGGTGACCCAGACAGCAAAGTCAGTCACTTGGGAATCTCCTCGCTGGGCAGTTTTCCTTGTAAGGACACCAGCCTTTCCACAACATCTCTCAGTGCCCTGGGCACTTCCCAGAAGAGATCCCCACCATCACCTCCCCTCCAGGCACTGTGTACAGCGAGGCCCTGGACTGCACACCCAGGAGCAGAACCCACTTGCCTCAGCCCATAAATTTTGGAAGTGTCTGTCTGCCTGTTTAACTTTGCTCCTGCAACAAGCTGCACTGAACAGTGTCTCTCATGGCTTGAGAGCACCACGCAGGTGGGTGCATTTGCAGGGTCACTGTTGCTTAGCAGGAAACACAGAACTCTGAGTGTCTTTGGCCACTTCCACAGAACAGTGGGGGTTGGAAGGGACCTC